GGAGAACAATCCAACATGGTAAGTGGGATACACAGCAGACTCATAAAATGGCAGATGTCCTAAATAGCACTCTGGCCTCCGAATCAGCCCTTAACACATTCAGATCTGGCTGAAAATCCCATGAGAGTATTTCAGGCATGGAAAGCCAAGACACTGTGGAAAAAAAAAAAAAAAACCCTAAATGAAAGATCTCTGCAAGGGAGATCCCAGTAGAAAGAATAGGCCATCAAAGGAGGAGGTACCTTTCTCTGCAGGGAGGAGAGAACTTCCACTTTGACTATGGCCTTGTCTAAATAAGATCGAAGTCAGTGAACTCAAGAGGCTTCCATAGCCTTGGCAACTCATGACAAGAGCCTAGGGTGATTACTGATGCCATAAACAAGAGTGTCAATTGGTTAAGTCAACAACAGAAGACACTGTGTAATTACTCCTCATGTAGGGTCTCTGTCCTTAATGTGTTGTCCAATGTGAATTAATGCTATAACTAGTACTGAAACAGTATTTTACACTTCATGTTCTGTGTGGGTGCAAACTAATGAAATCTTTACTTAATGTACACTAAATTGATCTTCTGTATATAAAGATAATTGAAAATGAATCTTGATGCGAATGGAATGGGAGTGGGAGCGGGAGATGGGAGGGGTGCGGGTGGGAGGGAAGTTATGGGGGTGAAAACGCCATTGTAATCTATAAACTGTACTTTGGAAAATTATAATTGCTAAATAAATGTTTAAAAAATTAAGTTATACTATATTCCTAAAATGTATATATGAAGTATATGAAAAAATAATGCTTGAGACTGGTGCTGTGGAACAGTGGGTAAGCTGCTATCTATGATGCCAGCATCCCATAATGGAGCAGTGGTTGGGGTCTCAGCTGCTCCACTTGCAATCCAGCTACCTGTTAATGTGCCTAGGGAAAGCAATGGTAGCTGGTCCAAATACCTGGGTCCCTGCCACCCACACAGGAGACTCAGGTAGAATTCCTGGATCCTGGCTTGGGCCTGACCTAGCTGTGGCCCCTGTGTGCAGTTGGGGAATGAACCAGCAGATGGAAGATCTGTTTCTCTTTCTGTCTCTCCCTCTGTCTCTATAATTCTGTCTTTTAAATTTAATAAATCTTCAAACAAGATGAATCTTGAGAGAGAAATTAGCCTATAATATACAGATAGATCCAATGAAATAGTAAAGGTCATTCTAAAAAAGAGTTGGAGGTGTTATTGAAAGAGGTGTAACCAGAGAGGCAGGGGAAAGTTCTAGGACGGAATAAACAAAGAAGTAAATCTTCTCATGGGGCCTTCAGAAGGACATCAGCCTGCTGACTCCTAGAATTAGCTTAAGATCCATTTGGGGCTTCCAACTCCCAAAACCAATAAGGATTATAATTCATTGTGGTTAAAACAGCAAAAAAATTGGGTCAAAAACCCGACTCTACCTTAAAAATAGAAGGGAGTCAAACAGTATATAGATGAGGGCAAAATAAATCCTTTATTTTGGTCATTGCTAGTTGATTTAAAATATCTAGATTTAAAGTAACAATGGTAACATCATCTTGAATTATGTTACCATAAGACAAAATTAAAGGAATTATAGAAATATCATAAGCGATAGGAAAGAAAAACTGATACTACCCTTTATGAAAATGCTTTCACCATCACTGAAATTACATAGCATTATTTGAAGGTGGGTAGCATTAATTAGGTAGCATTATTTGAAGGTAGGGCAACAATCAATGAACGTGCTAAAAAGAAATGTATATGATATGTTAAAAAAGGATATAAAATAAAATTATGTAAAGTATTCAAGAAATGTCAAAGTAGATGAAATGAAACAAAGAACAAATACAACAAATTTTTAAAAATACAGACCTAGTAGACATTATTCCACATGAATCATGATAATATTAAATATGATTTATCTACATTTACCAACTAAAATGAGACAGTCATAATGGATTGTAATGATCAAACTATATGTTTTCTATAAGAAACCCACTTTCAGTGTAAAAAACTCTGGTTAAATGCCAAGATACGGAGAACAACACAACACGCCATCAGTCAAAAGGAGTTGAAAAGGCTGTAACAGCTATGTTTCAAATAACGATGACATCATAACAAAAAACGACTGCAAAGATAAAGGAGGGTGTAACAAAATGACAAAACATTTTATTCTTTAGCAGGACTCAAAAAAGAGAGCTGCAAGGGAAACATAAATATTCTTAGGGGTTGTGATCAGAATGTGAATGGAAATACAGACAGTGAAAAAATTTTGAATAGATCTTAAAAGAAAACAAAAAACAGGGTATTAGAAATTCGAGTAAAAGTTATCTTTGTTGTCCAGTTTCAAGGAGCTCTAAAGAACTGCGTCAATGACTTAAGACTTCATGAAAGACAGAACGTAAGAAGGGTAATGTAGGATATCTGGCAGCCAAAAAAAAAAAAAAAAAAAAAAGAAAAAATCTAAGCAAAAATGTATTGAAGGTGTTGTGAGGCTTTCTTTGGTCTCTTAGAATAAAATGAGAGCAGAGAGGAATGATTTAATGAGAGAATTTAGAATTAAACAAAGCAAACAAACAAACAAAAAGCAAAAAGAGATGCTTGGGAGAAAATACTAAGGGTGTGACCAAGTGATCTTCTGCTAACAAGATCACTATGGATAGAAGAAAGCCAGATTCTTTTCATCAGGAAAATGAAAGAATGACTGCAAAGAAATTTCAGGGATCTTAAGGCGTGCTAGGACTTTTAGTGCGAAATTTACAGAGAGGTGCCCAGGTACCTCAGCATTCACAACTCTCTGCTGTCTGAAGACTCTTCCCTGGATTCTGGTGCAGGACCTCTTGTTTACAGCAGGAATAGCTCCAATAAAGCTCCAGTGTGGCTCAGTATGATACTCCAGAAGGTACAAGTCATAAACGTAGGTGTAGCATATGGTTGTGTCTCTGTGGCTGAGCAGAGCTGTGGGGGACATGGTGGACTCCACCTAGATTTCAAAAGATTTTTCAGTCAGTCTGAGAGCCAAGAGACAAACACATTTCTGACTGGAGAAAGCCGGTACTGGGGCAATGCTGGACAGAAGTGTGTGATCAGCCCCACTACAGTGTCCCCACCAGGACAATGCCTAATGGAGCCATGGGGACAAAGCCACTTTAGAGACCCTAGAACTCTCAGCCAGCAGCATACAACTCCAGCCTTGGAAGACTACAGGCATGAGATGCCAGTCCCTGGGAGCAGCTGTCTGGACTGCACACAGCAAAGTTATAGAGGCGGGGTTGCTTGAGGGCTGGGGGCTCCAACCCTACTCCTGTGTGCAAGGATGCGGTACATGGACTCAGTGGAGACTGTTCGCTAGCTTCAAGACCTGTTTTCTATATTGGGTTTTAGACTCATTTGGGACCTTTATTCCTTTCTTTTTTGTCTACTTCTCTCTTTTGGAATGAAAATATATCTCCCATGTCTGTCCTAGAATTGTGTTTTGGAAGCACATACGCATTTTGTTCTTACAGGCTCACAGCTGGAGGGTAATTGACTCAGAATGAATTGTGATTTTAGTCTCAGCGATATCTTAACTACATGAGATATTGGGCCTTGGTTTTTGAGCGGATGTTGAAACAAAAATTTTGGGACTTTTGGAATGGAATGAGTTGTGCATACAAGAAAGACATGAGTTTGATGGATTGTGGCAGAATTCTATAGCTTGAATGTACCCCCCTCCAAATTATATGTACCAGAAAATTAATTCGTAAAACAATAGAGGTGGGAGGTGGAACCTATAAGAGGTTATTACGTCATGAGGGCTTTACTCTCATTAATGAATGGGTGCTATTATTGCAATCGTGTGATCCTGATAAAAAGATAAAAAGATGTAATCACTTCCCTTCCTTCTCTCCCTTGGTGTCTCACACAAATACCCTTCTTGTCTTCTTTCTTCCAACATGACATGAAACAACATTAACTTCCTCACCAACTGGAGGCTCCTCAGTCTTGGACTTCTCAACTTCTAGGGTTGTAAGGAATGAACAATTATTCTTTAGACCATACTCAGTCTCAGGTATCCTGTTACAGTGACATGACATCGATTAACACAAACTCGATGACAAAAAGTCTGATAACTTAGATGAAATAAACAATTGAAAGACACAAATTTCTCAAACACAAAGACAAATAAACTGACCAGGTCTAAATCTATGAAACAAATCAATTTATTAGTCAAGATTCTCTTGAACTAACAAGAAATTTGATTTATTACTGATTTACTTGATTTATGGATTATTACCTGATTTATGGACTTATTACAAGGTTTTAAATCATGGATTTATGGAGACTAAGTATTCTCTAGATGTTTCCTCTTATAGCTGAAAATCTAGAAAGGCTGGTGATGTTGTTTAAAAACTTAGAATTTGAAGCTGATGGTGTAGGTTTCAGTGTGAATTTTTTTAAAGATTTATTCATTCATTTATTTGAAAGTCAGAGTTACACAGAGAGAGAAGCAGAGGCAGAGAGCTGTGCCGATCCAAAGCCAGACGCCAGGAGCTTCCTCCAGGTCTCCCACACGGGTGCAGGGGCCCAAGCACTTGGGCCATCTTCTACTGCTTTTCCAGGCTATAGCAGAGAGCTGGATTGGAAGAGGAGCAGCAGGGACTAGAACCGGCACCCATATGGGATGCCAGCACTGCAGGCGGATTAACCTATTGCGCCATAGCACCAGTCCCAGATAATGGGTATAGTTATAAAGCTTAATTTTAAGTCATTTTGAGTGGAGCATTGAATATCCAAACATTATTTTTGAGATTGTCTGTGAGGGTGTTTCCAGAAGAGATTAGCATTATAAGCAGTGGAGTTGGTAAGCTATATTGCTCTTACCAATATGGGTCAGCATTACCCAGTCCTTTGAGGGTCTGAATAGAATAACAAAAAGAGAAAATCAGGAAAGAAGGATACATTCTCTGTTTGCCTGAATGCTTGAGATGGGACATTAATTACTCCTTGGTTTTCCTGGTTCTAGGGCCTTAAAATTCACATCGAGCGGCTGGCACTGTGGCGTAGCCAGTGAAGCTGTCGCCTGCAGTACCAGCTCCCATATGGGCACTGATTCAAGTCCTGTCAGCTCCACTTGTGATCCAGCTCTCTGTTATGGCCTGGGAAAGAGTAGAGGATGGCCAAAAGTCCTTGGGCTCCTGCACTTGCATGGGAGACCTGGAAGAAACTCCTGGCTTCGGATCAGCGCAGCTCCAGCCATTGTGGCCAATTGGGGAGTGAACCAACGGATAGAAAATCTTTCTCTCTGTCTCTCCTCCTCACTGTCTGTAACTCTAACTTTCAAACAAATAAATAAAATATTAAAAAATTACCCATTATCAATTATATCCTTCAGTGATGTTTATTCTTAATTTTGATATGCATAACAAATATTTTGATATGAATTTAATAATAGGATAATATTTAATATGAAGACGTTAGAGGCATTGTTGATTAAGTTTCAGTCCACCAAAATAAAGCTAATATATAATAGTTTCCAAGTTTGTCTGAAAGTTATTTTTTCACTATACCAGTTTACTAAGTGGGTGAAAACATTATACTAAAATCAATAAATGCACCTTAATATATACTTATTGCTAAAATAGCTAATGATCATTGAATTTATTGGAAAAGTGGAACTGCAAGTTGTCACAAACCTTTATTCTAAAAAATGCAGTATCTATAAACTGTGATAAAGTGAGGTACAATAAAATGGACTGATCCCATTAAAACCTGCACATCTTATGTATTATTATAAATGAATAAGAGAGGGAACGCCTTGCCTTTCTCCTCTCTCATGTATGTGTATACAGTTGTACATACAGTATATTCATAACAAATAAGGAAGAAATACTCATGGCAGTTAGTCCCCATTTCTGTGACTGGTCATGCAATGATAGCTGTTATCTGTAAATGCCTTCTTCCACTATCCATTCTATATTGACTTTGTCTTCAGCAAGCATCTCAGTAACCTTTCACGATTGTCTGCCTGGGGGAATGAGTCAATCCTTCATTCTGTAAAAGTATGGGTCATAGCAACACTGCCTGTTTTGTGTTGTTTCAGTTTTGCACTTTTTAAAAATTTACTTATTTATTTGAAAGGTCACGTTACAGCTAGAGGGAGAAACAGGAGATAGAGATACTAGCTAGATAGGTGGAAATAGATACTTTCCATCTGCTGGTTTATTCTGCAAATGCCCTCAACAAGCAGGACTGTTCAGGCTAAAGCCAGTAGCCTGGAACTCTATACAGGTTTCCACAGGGTTGCAGTGTCCCAAAGAACTGGCATCTCCTGCTGCTTTCCCAGGAGCGGGAGAAACGGAGCTGGGTCTGAATGGGGCAGCTGGGCTCCAAACTGGTACCCATATTGGATGCTAGTTGTGGGCCACAGCTTAATCTGCTGCTCCACAATGCCAGCCCCATGTTTCCCATTAATTTTAATCACTGAGTATAGTAATATGAAGAGATAGCCTAAGGGATTGCCTGTACTCAGAACATACCATTTCTTGCCTCCATTATCAAGTTCAATTTCCCTTCTGTAAGGATCAATCACACCAGTCAGTGTTGTGTGAAAGAAAGCAGTCTGAAAAGCCTAAATAATATATGAGTCCAGTTAAATTACATTCCCAACACACAAACACACAACAATCAGTTGCCGTCATGGCAGGAGGAGGAGGGAAGAATAATAGAAACACAAAGGTTTTTTTAGATCAATAAAATTATACCACACAATTCGTGCATTTGTCAAAATCATAGAACTCTACAGAAGAAAGAGTACACAAATAATGTATGAAAATTAAAAACTGATTTAGATCTGAACGTTCCAGAATGAAATGCTTACTATGACCAAAATAAATCTGTGTTAAAAATGTGTGAAGCAACTGAAGGAAGTACAAGTAGAAAATGTGCTGACGCGAGTCGTTTTGTTTACCAGTGAATTCTGTCTGTATCATGGAACTACACATGAGTCCGTAATGTTGTTTTCCAGGTAGAAGGAGCAGATCAACAATTCTGAGCTAAAATGATTATGTTCTGGAACTGAACAATTTAGTAAACGTAGTACAGATGTTGGGAGCAATGTTTATCACTATTGGAGTTGTAAGATAATCAAAGGAATGAAAGTAAATGAAATTATCCATTTGGCAATGAATTAGGGTGGAAGACATCAGTATGAACTCATGAAAAGCTTTATATAAATATAAGATTTACATATAGAAATGCTTATAACTTATATGAACACATAGGTTAATACATATACATACATTTCTTTGTCATCTAAGTGTGCCTAGGAGAAAGGATATCTCAGAAGAAACAAACAAGAATAGTGTCTACAAATACTAGCTGATAGAATCAAAAAGGGAGAGAATGATCCAACATGGGAAGTGAGATACACAGCAGACCCATAGAATGGCAAATGTCCTAACAGCACTCTGGCCTCATAATCAGCCCTTAAGGCATGCGGATCCGGCTGAAAAGCCCATGAGAGTATTTCAGGCATGGAAAGCCAAGACACTCGGGGGGGGGGGGGGGCGACCTAAATGAAAGATCTCCGCTAGTGAGATCCCAGTGGAAAGAACGGGTCATCAAAGAAGGAGGTACCTTTCTCTGAAGGGAGGAGAGAACTTCCACTTTGACCATGGCCTTGTCTAAATATGATCAGAATCAGTGAACTCAAGGGGCTTCCATAGTCTTGGCAGCTCATGACAAGAACCTAGGGTGATTACTGATGCCATAAACAAGAGTGTCAATTGGTTAAGTCAACAGCAGGAGTCACTGTGCACTTACTCCTCATGTAGGATCTCTGTCCTTAGTGTGCTGTACATTGAGATTTAATGCTATAACTAATACTCAAACAGTATTTTTCACTTTATTTTTCTGTGTGGAACAAACTGTTGAAATCTTTACTTAATGTATGCTAAACTGATCTTCTGTATATAAAGATAATCGAAAATGAATCTTGATATGAATGGAAGGGGAGAGGGAGTGGATAAGGGGAGGGTTGCGCGTTGGAGGGAGTTTATGGGGGGGAAGCCATTGTAGTCCATATTCTGTACTTTGGAAATTTATATTCATATTCTGTCTTTGCTACTTGCAAATAAAGGTGTCAAAAAATCTCAAAAAAAAAGACTATATATAAAAAAAAAAAAGAAACAAACACTCCTATCATTCAAGTCACAGTTTTGAAAGCCATCCTCAAATAAAGGAAACTATGACATGGGCAAGGGATATACAAGTGGGCCTGAAACATCAAATAGCGACAGGAAGTGTGAAGGGGCTAAAAAAAATTGACAAGAGTATGTCAAAGGACACAGAAGCCAACGGAATAAGACCCTGGTGGTCAAAGATCTCAATTTGCCTAAAACAATAAATAAACTTCTATCAAATTATAAACAAAAGTGCAAAAAAATGCCTAGGAGTCCACACAGCAATAAATAAATCATTGAATAAACATATACATGAAGAGAAAGAGTCAAATCTCCCTTTCAAAAAAGTTCCAAATGCTCCCAAAGGAACTGGCTGCAAAACCCCTTACCCCTTACGTTTGGGTTGTTCATATGGCTCTCTACAAATAGCACAGTATAGGAGGAGGCAATACAGAATATTTTGCCTTGGAGAGATCTGAAAAACTATTACCCCAGCTAAGAGGTCAAGATCAAGAGATATGAGTCGCAGTGATAGTTACATGAGCTTGGTGGTATGCCATGAAAACAGCACTTTAACTCTGTGACCTTCCTTTGCAAAATCCATAATCAGTCTATACATTAGAAAAATATCAAATAACTTTCAAAAGGGGTTGTTCTAGAAAATTACTTGATAGTCCTCAAAACTCAAGAAATTAACAACTAGAAAAGAGCAAAAAGAAAAGAATATTTTTTGACAAATAAATGTAAGTTTATACCCTGAGTTGGAAAGATCATTAGGATAAAAAAAAAATTAAGATAACTGCAACAAATTATGAACCTTAGTTAATTGTGATATTTTAGTACCAGTATTTGGTTGCAAGAAAGGCACCATAGAAATATCAGTTGTTGATCCTAGGGAAATCATAGGTGGAATATATGGGAACTCTATTATCTATACCAATTTTTGTAATGTTTTAAAAATAAATTTTATTTAAAAGTAACACACACTGAATGAAGTATGCAAATTGTAAAGGAGTTGATTTTGTTTTTGGGAAGCCATCATGTCTTCATATGCTCAACATAAAAAGAAGCAATTAACTACAGCCTCTGAATATATTCAGAAAGCAGGTACAGTAGGTCTAAGTTATCTCAAAGGGTATATGCCAAGATATCTAATGAATGCCTGAAATCACAGATAGCACTAAATCCTACATACAATATTTATGAAAAACTCTGTAACTTAGGGTAAGAAATTAACAAATAGAAATAAAACAGAATAATTATAACAATTATAACAAAATTCTGCATTAAAAGTTGTATGAATGAGGTCTCCAACTTTCTCTCTCGAAATATGAGACAGTAATTTAATCTTTTCACTTAAAGAAGCACTCATAGATTCTATTTTTGGCATGTCCAAAACATTACATGTGCTTCCTCATCTGTACTGCAATTTCTATTGTAGTAGAACAGTTGCATGTATATGACAAAAATTATCACTCATCAATTTATCTATATACTAGCGTCTGTTTTTGTATCCATCTACCCATTAAAATTATCTAAGTATTAACATTCAGTTCATGTTTAATGAGTTGAAAATAGTTGCTTTATATCAATTAATTATCCTAACAAACTGAATATTACATACATCCCGTGAGATGTTCAGAAAATCAAACCTTTGAAAAAGTAATTACAATATATAAAATTACTGGTCTATTCCTCATCTTGCCGCTAGATCATGTTTGCTAGAATGCACACGGCTTCTTAGCTATCTCTGTATCATATTCATACTTAAGTTTGGATCTAATACCTTAGTGTGTATTAGCAGAATATTTTTTGTCCTGCTTCTGACTCCTTTTTGTCAAATTGAGTTTTAGGCCTTTGTTCTATTTAAGTTCTTCCTTGCAACAGACATCACTTTGCACCCACATCTAAGCTTCACTGTGTTCACCTCTTCCCTGAGTTCACAAGAGGTCTCTTACAGGCTGTTGGCTGCATATTCACATTCTATGTATCTTTTGGGGAAAAAAATAGAGAAAAGAAAACTTCTCTTTTTGAGCATTGTCATTGCTTAAATTCCAGATAAATGGGAATCAACTGTGTTTGTTTACCCTCATATGGACTAGTGCTGGCAAATTACCACAGCAATTTTATTTCTTAAAACTCACATTTAATCTTATTTTGTCAGATGTGACTGCATGGATAATTTCTA